CTTAAGGTATTTAAGTGAAAACTGCAAGAAAGTCAGGGCGATTCTGTAGTCAGAAGCCCATAGCATAGAGTGTCCACACACTCTATGTTATGTATCTTTCTAAAGTCAGGTATGCATCTTACTCTTAGATTCATCTTTGAAAATTGGATGTCTTGTATCAATTTGATATCTTTGAAATTGGCTATGTCAGTGTTTCCCAACCTTTTTTTAGTCTCGGCACCCTTTGGAAATTTTAACAAACTTGTGGCACCCTACAAAATTAATTTTGTCACAATATTTGAATTTCTAACTTCGATGTGATAATTTGAAAAGTATAGATATTCGGTACAACCGGGAAGAACTGCAGAATATAATGTCATACAGATATTTTTAATATTATTAAAAAATGTTGTCCATCAGTGGTGGCAATCAGTAGGCTAATTTCTAATGAAGAGACCAATTTATATGACAGATTTTAATGTAGGCTTTTATACATATGTAAACATTATTTAATTACCATTATAACTAGCTATCTCACAAATTTTTGCTCACTCAGTGTTTTTTTAATTTTACAGTGGGGTAATTTTGGTGCAGTAGCACGAGATAGCTTGATTTCAAACTTTGAATTGAATAAAAAATGACAAGTAAGCAGTCAGTAATAAAATAAGAAGAGATAAAGAAATTAATAATAGCACAAATAAAAAATAACGACAGGCCTTCGAATTAAATAAATAGCTTTTTAGTTTTTAGGTAGGTCTAACAGTAGGGTTAAGATATTTAACATTTTTTCTTTTTTTTTACCAATTATCCAAATAATGTTTAGTCCTAGAAAGCTATTATTATCAGAACACGTGAGCATAACATAGCGGTTAGCAGATCAATGAATGAGAGGGCAGCCTTACCAGAGTTGCCCATATACCACACCATGTTACAACACAGTAGGACTGTTGCAAACAGAAACAATATTGTACTACATAGATGTTTCCTGTCGGCTCCATTTTTGAGTGGACTTTGCTGTTCCGATGAGCATGAACGGTATATGAGTGGAGAGACTGAGCGGAGCGCACACACGCATAGAGCGGGATAATAATACGCAGTTAACGCAGAGCGTCACACCACGTGAAAGTGAAACCTGAGCGGTGAGCTCATTCTCGGCAGCCGGAATTTCGGTGCATCTCTAATTATTGGCGACATCAGAAATGGATATTATACAATAGATGCTTTTTTGAACATGTTAGCAACTTAAAAATCTTTTAAAAAGTATTTTTTACACGGCTCCCCGGTTGGGAAGCACTGCTCTACAGCACAGAAGATGTCCTGCAGAGAAGTCTGTTCTAAAGACAGCAATATCAACCAAAAGCTTGCTTTAATCAACTGATATCTAGGCTATAATATATTGCATAATAATTCTTCATTCAGGTGTTATTTTTGGTTAGGCCTACTTGAAATCTTGAACTACTCAACTTAAAATGATAGTTTATCGTTATTAAAACATTTATCACTTGTAGTGGAAAAACTCATTTGTCTGCATTTGTATAATGTGATGTGTGTAAATGATTAAGAGACTTTTTGATGTTCATGTTCATTTCATGTTTCATCAGTAGGCTACAGCTCCTGGATGGAGACACACCAGTGTCCTGCTCCTCCTCACTCTGCTCACTCTGAGCTTTGGTGGATTTGTGGGGAGAGAAACAACAGAAGAAAGAAGCAAACCTCCGAAACCTGCTCTTTTTCTGCCTCTTCTTCTTGGTCTTGTCTGCTCTCCTCCTCACCGATAGTCACAGGCGTCTCTTCAGGAGAGGATGGAGCTCCGTGTGGTCGCCGTGGGTGTCAGTGGGGGCGTAGATTACGCGGGGGGACATGTCCCCCCCCACTTTTAATATCACGTAAATTCGTCCCCCGCACTTTTTCGGGCAAGTGTGTTCGAGGTTTTCAAGAGCCGGTGTGAATAAATATAGATTTAAATTCAAAGAGACAGGATAGTCTGTGCATGATCTGATGTTTTATTCGGACCCAGAATAAGGCGAGATGAACATCACGGAGCGCTAAACACTCCGTGCAGTGTATGTTTCATTCATACTCGAAGCCGGAGGGCGCTCTCGCGCAGAAAGTCCTATGAGGAAATTCCTAATATGGACAAAAGGAAATAACTAAATTTGCTTTCTCAGTTGTGCATTTACACGCAGTAAGGTCCAAAAGTCTGCACTATTTCAATGTCATTTGTAAGAAATACTGAAATTCAGATCATTTTTATTTCTGATGTTGTAATTTGTGATGGAAATAGAAAATATATTTAGTTAGAAAAATCCAAACAGAACACTTTTTTTGACATTGTATACAACTTAAATGGAATATAAAAATGTACATAGCTTAAATATGAATATTTAATATTAAAAACAAAATATTATATATGTAACAATATATTCTACATAGCAATATTGCATCAAAAATGAATATTAATAACAATAATATATAATTTTATCTATATATATATATATAGTATGTGTATATATATATATAAAACATTTCTGTCCCCCTCACTTCTGAAATGATGGCTACGCCCCTGGTCAGCGTTGTCCCTCCGCTTTCACTCCATGAGATAGTCGCTGTCCCATAATCAGCACGATAAAACGCTATCAACAACTGTAAACTCACGGTAAACACTGTTTATAACACACTCTTTAATCGCCGCGAAGTGAGCAGCTGAGTCTCGCGCTTTATATATTCCCGCGGCACCTTCTGAATTCCTCTGTGATATATCAGCGCTCAAACAGAACTGAGAGTCTGTTAAAATGTTTTTATTTGGAATTTCAGCAGAGGATCTTTTGTACCTACATTAAAAAATGCAAATACATAAAAATTACATTATAACAAAAATGCATAAAACAATTAAAAAATGCATTAAAACAGTGTCTAATGATAAATTTTGTTGAATGGTAAAAGTTCAAATTTAAATCTGGTGTAATGTGATGCACTACAACAAGAATGGCTCAGAAGAGAAGTGGAGTCAGTTCGAAGAAAAACATATTGTCTATTAACACAGTGTTTTGGACATTAAGTTTTGGAGTAGGCCTACCAGGTATCATGAATTCCAGTACCATGTTGCCACAGTAGGCTATTTTTTATGAGATGTATTAAATTCTTGCTTAATTATATATATAT